TTGGGTGAAGCTTACAGTAATAGAGACAATGACTGCCTTTCCGTTTTTTGGCCATTTCATGTCCCCCTTTCCCTTTTGTTCATTCCCTTTTCATTGTCTGCAGAGATTCCATCCCTCTGCCTTTTCCCTCCATCTATCCCTGACCTTATTTAAACTTTGCTTCCCACACGGGACCAGCATAACCAGCCACCCTGCCTCCCTTTCGTCGGTTCTTCTCCTTCTTCGTGCCCCAGTGCAGTGGTCAGCAGGAGTGAACATTCCCTGATCCTCGCAGACTCCTAGACACTCTTTCCTCGGGTCTGCCGCTGCGCTCTGCACCACCTCTGAACCCTCTCACTGCGCTGTTTCCGTTAGCATTGCACATCGAGATGCTACTTTCCCCAAACCTTAGACTTCTTCCCCTCCGTGTTCACTGGGATGTATGAAAGAGTTTCTGTAGCGTTTGCAAAATGAATAAATAAGAGCCCAGCAGCTGTCAGAATTCGCCAGAACTGCTATGGACAGGAACAGTTGGGGCCCCCTGGCAAGCCCCTGGGCTATCTGCCCTTAATACATAGATACTGCAGTTCCTCAAAAAAGAAAAAAAAAAAAGGCTTTCCAAAGACTCGAGTGCAAAGTTGGCAGAGGGACATTGACTACTACAGCCCCAAATGGAAGGAGGTAAATGCTCATGACAAGAAAGGGTTGGGGTATGAGGGTCAGGGTCTTGGAAATGCCAACTGTAATGGGCTAGAGTCCACCCCCGAGATGTGTGTTCTCTACAAGAGAATAAGCAACCCTGCATGTTTATAGAGTGAATTAGAGCTGCCACAGAGACACGGACTGCGAGACTGCTGTTTGGGGTTGCACTTTAACCTCGCTGGCAGTCGGTTGTACAGGGGTTCAGAGGGAGGAGGAGGAGATGGGGAGGCTAAGTGTGAGATAAAGAAAGAAAACCATCCATAGAGCAGCCTGGGAAGGGGCTACCCAGCGAGCAAATGAATGCAGACGGACTGAACGATGAGGTTCCTGCCGGGTTCAGAGAGCAGCCTAGCAGGGAAAGGTGAGGGGCTGAGCTAGACCGCCACGCCGGATGCAGGGGAGCTGCTGTAGAGCTGACAGCCTGTCTTTAGAACCAAACACCGCGAGAGGTCAAGATGTGGTGCTGGGGAAACCTCGGTTCCCTGTAATGTGATTTGTTCCTGTGCCATATGTCCTAGTGGCTGAGAGTGATTTATGACTGAATGCGGCATTAGGATTTTTCAAAGCTGAGCTCCCGTTTATGACTTGAGCTTGCCCAGTAGTCATTAGCGTTAAATGTGCTTATGGAAACAAGGATGGGTTTCTGTTACTTTCGTTAGAAAAACGGTGAAGCCCTCTGGATGTCTCTTTACAGGGAGTGGTTGACAGGTTGCCCACAAAGTTGAGCAGCCTGGAAAACCATCATCTTGGTCTCTTCCCGTCTCCTCCTCTCCACCCCTGCTAGCGTGACTTGTTCTCTGCCTCATCAACCCCTCATCCTTCATGAACCAGTACAGTGACCAAAACACGGGGAAACCTTCTCCGGCTCCCACACATTCCTAAATGCTGCGTGTATCTGTCTACCCATGTGGCACACATTCAGGACATTGGACATAGGACGTCTGTGCCTTGTGCACATACTGTGTCTGGTGATCCAAACAGGCCCCCGTCCCTGACTCCGTATCCAGTTTTGTTGCCCCAGGAAGTAACCTCTGCGCGTTCTGCCCCACTTTCATCAGAAGACTAACCTGGCCACCTTCATTTCCACTTGGACAGCGTTTGATGACGCCAGTCAGCACTGACAGGCAGTACTCTCCCCTACTGAGCCAATTCCACCCGCGAGATTGTGCTTGCTCACCTTGGTGAGTGGCAGGACAATTACCCATGTTCGAGCCCGCTTCAAAGCTTCCGTAACCTGGCGATGAATGAAATGCACAACCTTCTGGCTCAATGACATTTCAGGCAACCGCTCATCGGTTCAGGCAGCAAAAGAAATTGGAACTCAGTTGCTGCCAGTCCATTTTTCTGGTTAGAGCTATAAATAAAGGAAATGATTGTGCTGCTGCCTATCATTTAACCTGCCCCCCCCCCAACCAACCAATCCCCCCCCCCCGCCCCACTTTGTTCATGCTCCCCAAGAAACAATGTTCATGCTTATATCTGGAGGCTGCCAAGCACTATGTGTCTACATTGGAATCCTGCATACGCGTAAGCATAACAAACGAATGGGGATATACTTAAGTTATATAGCCACCTCTACCAATTTTGTAATTCATTCACATGAAAATATTTTCCAATAAACACAATATCCCTCCCCCCTTTCAAATATTTTATGTAGTCCTTTATACACCAGGCTGAGTCGCGTCACTCAGTCGTGACATTTAAATGACAGTTACTGCGGCAGCACAGAGTAATGACCTTGTGGTGCACTGGCGTGCTTAACCAATAATTTATAGATCCCATAAATACGGGGCTCAAAAAGCAAGAAATCTTTTTCTCACATAAAATTGCGGAACAAAACACATTTAACTTGTTCCCCTGTTCTTTTCTAAGTTGTGTGTTGGATTTCCCACCCAGATACAAACATGACAAAAATAGAAAATAAAATAAGACAGAAAACCATCCTCCCTCCTCTCTGGCAAGCGCCGATGTCTTTGGTCTGTATACACACGAAGTGGGACTCAGTCCCAGCTAAGGCCTCCAGCTTCAGCCTCTTTCTCAAGCTCAGTCTGATTCAGTCAGCACGCTAGCGCATTCAGGCTAACTCCCCCGGCCTCTTCCAGCAATCCATTATTTCTTCCATTTCACTAAAGCTGGACCCCCGGGCGAGTCCCAGAGGACTCGCCGTTGACGCGGTTGCAAAGTTGATTTCCTTGACTCTGCCAAGAGGCTGCTTCCTGGATGAATCCTAAATTAATAAGGCCAATCAGAAATGCACAATGCCTGGATGGCCAATCAGTCTTCTCGAGGTTTTTGCCGTCTTCTCTGCCATCAGATAAATCACGTTAAAGCTATGATACCAATGGCCATAAATTAGGGAGGTCTGGCGGATGCATTCTTCCCGAGGACTTGCACACCAGGGTGATTCCTGCAACTGCGGGGGTGGGGTGGGGTGGGGTGGGGTGGGGGGTGGAGGTGGACGGAGAGTCACAGAGGGTGGGGGAGGAGAGTCCCTTAGCATTTGCTCTTACAGAACGCTGGACTGGACTCGTGCAGTGTCCTCGGGCTCAGGGCTTTCATCTTCGCTGCCCCCAGCTGTTGCCCCCGGCCGTGCTGCTCAGAGATTGCCCAGATCCCTCAAGTGCGGAGACTCCATCTGCGCGTCTTCGCCAGACTATTTACAGCCGAGGTTAGGCCGGTGATTGCTGAGACGGAAAACTCATTTTTCAGCCTGGCTTTTATTTACACTCTTATTAAGGAACCTTTCGCTCACGGTGGGATGGCACCGAGGGGCATCGGTCGGTGAGGGATCTCAGGTGACAGACGCAGGATGGGCCCTGGACAAAGGTGAGGGAAGCCTGGACACTGGCTCTGCAGTGGGAAGGGCCCGGTTGCTACCTCTTTGGGAAAAGTCGGTGGCTGAGTTCTGCAGCCGTAGCTGGTGGTTTGTTTCCACCATCCCCCGTCCCCTTGCCTGGCCAGACTCTTTGTAAATGTTCAGAAGAACAATGCGGGCAGAGTGTTGTATTCTGAACAGTCTAAACCCAGAGAGGCCCTCCTCACCAGCCTTCACCTGAGGGTTAGGTACCCCAACACAGTGGGCACGAACCATCATTGGAAGGAGAGTTCGGAGCCAGGAGGCAGCTTCCCTTCCACCGCGTGGGCCTGCAGGTTGCTGCAGCCCAGGGTATCTGGGCCTCTTGCTGTGCACAACCGCCAGCCAGTCCCCCATCCCCATCCGCCTCAATAAAATGAAGATGGAGCTGTCCTCACTGGTGCTTCAATCTCATCACACTTGGGTTAAACTGTGTTTGTTTTTCTTAAAAGGGACAAAGGAAACCAGAAATCTTGCAGCGGTAGAAGCATGGAAGGGTTCCCTTGTTCCCATTGCGAGTTACCATCTCGTGTCTTCCCTATTCTGCTTTCCGGTCACACCAATCTCTTGAAAGAGTGGCTGCCACTTTCTGTTACTTTCTCTTAATGTTGTTCCTCTTGGCTTACTGTATTTTACACCTCTATGTCCTCCACTATTTCCCACTGAGCCACGAGACACTTCCCTTTCTTCAGAAAAGTGAACCACCTTTTTTACTCTCCTAGCTCCAGTTCAGAGGGGCATGGTTAAAGGCCGATTTGCACCCGCCAAAATTGCTCTAACTACCGGCATCTGAGAATATAAGTGTGTTTGGAGTCTAGGTCAATAAAAGACTGGCTACCAGACAGGCACATAGAGGAATTCTGTATAAAACAAAAACAACAATAAAAAAAAACCCAACCAAACAAAAATACCCAAAGAGCAACAACAAAACAAGTAAAAATAAGCAAACAAATAAGTGATTAAATGACACCACAGGGCTGGACCCTAATCTGACTGATGCCCATACATAAAAAGTAACACCAAAGGCACTAAAGAAAAAATTCAGTTGAAAAGTACTTGCCTTCCAAGTGTGTGGACCTTAGTTCAATACCAGAATCCACATTAAAAACAAGAAGATGATGGAGGAAGAAAGAACGAAAGAAAGGAAGAAAGAGGGAAAGAAAGAAAGAAGCTGGGCACAGTGCATACATTTTGTAATTTCAGCTCTGGGGAGCTGCAGGCATCTTTGCCTACTCTGCAAGTTCTAGGCCAGTGAGAGATCCTGTCTCAATAGCAAAGAGAATGGTCTGCAGAACACCACGCCAAGATTGTTGTCTGGCTTTCATAAGCACATGCATGCATGCATACCTGTACATACATGTGAAGACACACAGGAGAGAGAGAGAGAGAGAGAGAGAGAGAGAGAGAGAGAGAGAGAGAG